ATTTTGAAAGCACTTTATTTATTTTTAGAAAAAGTAAAAAACTATCTATTTCTGCATTTGTTTCTCCCATCTGTCATTAGTAAAATATAGGCATGCTGACCGATCAAAGTTCTCGTGCAAATGAAAGAAAAATCCAAAACAACCCAAACGTAATATCAAATATTATTAAAAAGAAAAGTACATATTAAAATAACTCATACTACAGAGTGCTATTTTTAAAAAACAATAATAATATTTATATATTTATAGACGTAATACTTGTTATAATTTTGAAAAAGGCAAGTAACATGGGCCAGAGGGATCAAGTGAACTGGGAGCTACCAAAGGCCCACTAAACTTCCCAATTCTAAATCATGGGTTTTCTGCTCAGTCTTGGCTAGCAACCCAACCTCATCATTCATTGTATATTTAGTATGTTGAGATGGGAATCCAACTCACAACGTCTTAGCTAGAGATTGATGGTTGGGATGAGAGACAAAACCATGGAAAATAAAAGAATGAAAAAAAAGGAATCTTGTGACAATTTTGAGACCACTGACTCAGATTTTGGCAACAGAGAAAGAGCCTCCAAAAAAATCAATATTTTTGGAGTAATTGTTCTTATAATTTTTTGTGTCATATTTTTGTGTTTTACAGTTTCTTCCTTATTTACGCATATTGTGGTGTATGTTTGGATATTCTTGTGGAAGGGTAAATTATTTCACAGAGATATATATCTTTGGTAATTATATATTAATATAATAATAATAATTTATTATATCGGATCGAGTCTCGGCCAACCTTTGAGCTTCGGGCTTGATGATGAGACTGACGCTTTGGGATCTTTCATTTTGTTGAGTACAACAAATTGGGGATCTTCACTCGATCAAGCATCATTGTCCGAAAATTTTATAATTAGTATATATTTCTTTTCTTCGTACTATAAACTTTTACTTATAAATAATTTTTTAACACCGTTTTTTAGTACAACAAATATAGAGGTGAGGAATTGAACTTTCGACTTCTAGAAAAAAAATAAAGTGCATTAATTATTGAGCTAAACTAATGTTTGGCATTTTTTAAACCCCGTTGAATTCTATCACTCTTGAATAATAACGAACAATAAATATAAATAATATCAATTGCGTAATAGGTGAAAATTTTCCTAATTGCTTTTGTTCATAGAATATATTATATTGGTAGTTTCAAACCATCGTTATCAAATTTGTAATATAATCCATAAAAAATTGTAATATAATTTTTTTTTTAAGTTTCCCCTGTTAGCATTAATATGATTCTAGATTATATGGGTAGTTTCAAGTTATCATTATCAAATTTGTAATATAATCCACAAAAAATTGTAATATATATATTTTTTAAGCTTCTCCCGTTAGCAATAATATATTCTTTTAATATGATTGAATATTTGAACTTCCGACCTTTAAGAAAAAAAAGTATATACCTTAACTGAATGAATTATTTGATTCTAAATAATGTATAAATCCAGGTTTCACATATTATATATAAAGATGGTTGGTACATCCTCAAATAGGTGTATAGATTTTTACACAAATACCCAAAATAAAACAAAACCAAACATTACTTCAATTAACCGCAACTCACACAAACGGTAAAAAGTAAAGCAATTGAAGGGCCAGCGCTTTATAAATTACAACTCAATTTATTTAATAAAACAGTCCAATTTTAGAGATCAGGTTGTGAATTTGCCATAGTCTCTCTTTTCATAGTCTCAGATTAGGATGTACTTCCGCGCATCGAGGTATGACGGGTGAATCCACAGAAATAAGGCGGAGGTTGATCTACACCACAATGACTCACACATTAAACAAAATGTACCCGAACTACTAGAGACGTTTGCGAATCCACCATACTTCGATCGTCTGAGTTATCAGCTGAACTAACCTATATTTACTTTTTTATGTCCCGATGAGTCATCTACTTAAAAAGAACCCTCTCTCCCCTCCTTGAATTATTCTATTGTTTACTAGGTGCATGATAATTGGTACACCACAAGTGCATTCGTTCTTCCATAACCCAAGCTTGAAAAAAAGAAGAGATAAGAGGGTCCTATGGAAACTGTGGTTTAAGATTTTTCAGAACCCCGATCCAGCCTACCTGACTGATATAATCTAAAATACACTCTCCACACTCTCCGTTTTCGAAAAGGAAACCTCTATGCCTGTGAAACCCCTAAACTACAAGCTAGCGCGCAACGGCTTTTCTATCTAATTGTACCACGTAGTCTTTTGGAAGGTGTTTTGGGTGAGTTATTTCAACTTCATGCTTCCGTTCCCTCGATAAGGTGAAATAGCGTTGTCGTAACAACATGATCACGTTTCTATTGCTACACAACATCAAATATTTGAACAATGGAAATAGACAAGTCTTTCTTTTTTTGTCGTACTCCTCTTCTTGTTCTATCTTGTTCTATTGATTAGAAGCATCCGACCTCCCTAAAATGACATAACTCAATTAAGGAAATCTCAATCCATTGAATCTTACCTGCAAGCCATGTTGTCCTATTTCATGATACGATGCGAAAGGAAATGGAGATCTATGTTGACTGGAGTTAGAACGTCATAAAGAAATTATAGCACTACAATTCTCATAGTCTATTGTTAACCATTCGTCATTAAGAGTAGACGAATTCCAAAACAATATTGCCAAAAATCATGGAGGTGTATTCATATTTGGAGAAGAGTTTAGCGTGAAATACTCAAAAAAGGAGGAGAGAAGGGATTGGGTGGAGGCTGTCTTCTAAAATATATTAAAATTTTGCCACTTACATCACTGTTTATGGGTGGATGTTAAATGTGGCTAATGATAAGGCGAGGCTATAGAAATTTGAAATAAATAAATTGTTTAAGAGGAAAAATAAAAAATTTCTGCCACTTTTTAGAATTTTAGATTGAGGAATTTAAAATTTTTCCTCACACGGTATGATAGAAATATAGGAGAGAAAATTTGCAAAACATATATTGAGTTTGTATCAATGGTTAATAGGTGATATATGCAGATAATGGTTATTATGAAATTGAAAAATGTTGGCTACTTAGAGTTAAAAGAAACTTTTTCCTTAATGTCATTAAATATTTGACAACTAACAAAGAGAAATGAAAAAAATTATAAAAAGATAATGAATTGTAAAATATTTAATGGTATTGATTGATGATGAAGTTTCTCATTCATCCAAAGGAGTCTAATTTTTTTTACTAATTTTTACTTTAATAAGAAAAAGACTTAAGTTAAGAGAAACCCGTTAACACCATTAAATATTCGGCAACTAATCAACTAATTAAGAGAGAAATGTAAAAATTAAAAAAAATAATGAATGGTCAAATAGTTAATGGTATTGGGAAGCCAAGTTTTTTCTCCTAATTTATCTTTTAAAATTTTACCAATTATTACATCAAATTTTATCAATTTCACCATCTTTTCGTTACTATGAAGTTCAGGAAAAATATAAAATAACCACCGTTAAAATTTTGAATGATTTTTAAAATGTTGTTTTTGAAAGGGAGGGGCCAAAAGAAAATATTTGAATAGGTATTTATCGTTGTCAAGAGTAATTATAATTTTTTATTTTTGAATTACCGTTCTTTTAGTAAAGGGTTGAGAATTTAAATTATGACCTCTTGATCATAGACATGTATTAATTACCTCTAGCTAAAGTCATGCTTACAATTTAGTTGATGATTTGTTTCATCCATTGAGAGTAATTTGAGATTAATCAATTTATTTTTCATTTACCACATCTTGTATGTACAGATGGCTCATTTTTGGAAAATAATGATGCGGTACGTTTTTTTTCCTATTTATATTCTAATCAATCATAAAAGGAAAAGACTTAGATCTAGGGAGCTTCATTTTCTCTGTGACCAACCTAAATGAGGTGATGAATTCTATTTAAATTCTAAATGGGGATGAGGGAAGTATTTATCCTGTCATCTAACCGATCCTGTCAGCATTAAATATTTGACAACTAAGAGAGTAAAATACAAAAACAAAGAATTTAAAAAAAAAATAATGAGTTGTGAATTTTTCAATGATGATCAAGTAGAAATGGATAATCACCAGTCATGACCTAAATATTTTCAATCATATAAAATATATATATCCCGAGAAAAATTATAAAATATAAAGGGTGAAAAATATAGATATGTCAACATGTGCATAATTCAACTCGTTGAAGTAACTATGTCCAACTAAATTATCCTCGATTTCAATCCCCACCTTCAAAGGTTTTAAAAAAAAAAGTCAAAGAATTGAATAGTTATCTTGGAAGACTAAAAATGTTTTTTAACCCTTCAGTTTCTGTAACGGGAACGTTTTCCAAAATAATTTTTGATGTTCTAGAATCCAAACTATATAAACTCAAAGGTAAGGTGCACCTTTTGAGGGGAAAATAATTAAAAAGAAAAATGTTAGTAACTTCCTAGTCACTTTCTTCAGTTAGGTATGTACAAGATTAGTGTCCTAGATTTAGTATAGTTTAATGGCTGGGAACTCAAGACATTAGTAATATTATTTAGTCGGTGAGTTCATTTAAATTTATTTAATCGTGAAAAAAGAACTATTAATATTGAATTAAAATTAAAATAAGGTTGTATAATTTAATGTTTGGTTCCTATGAATTAAGAAAATACAAATTTGGTTCATCAAATTTAGATTTTATGTCAATTTGGTCTCAATAGTTTGGTTAAACTTCAAAAATGGTTTCTAAATTCTCTGCTTTACTTATGAGGAGAAAAGATACTATTTCTCTTTTTTTTTTTTTTTACTCAAACTTAAATCCTAAGCATCTAATATAATTAGTTAAATATAAAACATTAGCTCCATATCACCTAAAAAACTATGGTCATAGCATAAACTATTGGCAAAGTTTAACTAAATTTAGAAAATTATCCATTAAAATACTACACAGAATAATTAACTTTTATGGGTGGGAAATAATAAAAGGCAAGAGGGGACATTATAAAAATCAGGGTAGTAGCGGAAGGAAGTGCGCGGTGAGAGTGAGAGCAGAGCAAAAACAGAGTACATCATCCTATGGCCGGAATTTCTTCATTCTCCGCCGCCCACTTCCTCTTTCTGTTTCTCTTTGTCTTCTTCTCCTCCGCCGTAGTTTCAGAAGATGATTCCTTCGTAACAACTGTGGAAGTGGAGGACAAGAGGGTTTTGGGTCTGAAGAACGAGAAGCTGACACACTTTCGCGTGTACTGGCACGACGTTTTGGGCGGAAAAAACCCAACGGCAGTCCAGATCGTAGCGCCGGCGCCGGCTTCAAACGCATCGACGTCGTCGTTCGGTTTGGTCCGAATGATCGACAACCCATTGACAGCGGGGCCGGATCCGAGGTCGAAACTGTGGGGGAAAGCTCAAGGGTTGTACGCGGCGGCTTCCCAAGAGAATCTGAGTTTTTTAATGGCGATGAATTTCGCGTTCATGAGTGGGAAGTACGGCGGAAGCTCCATCACCATCTTGGGAAGAAACCCAGTTGGGGAGAAAGTGAGAGAGATGCCGGTGATCGGAGGAAGCGGGGCTTTTAGATTTGCGAGAGGGTATGCTCGAGTCAGAACCCTTGTTATAAATCCGGTGGCAGCAGTGGTTGAGTATAATGTGTATGTACTTCATTATTAATGCCTTATGCCTACATATGCTGCCATTTCAGTTTAATTTGGCTGCAGCCTGCTGTGTCTGCTAAATCTATATATATGTTATCATGTTATAATAAGTAATCTGTGTCTGCTAAATCTATGTCATCTGTCACCGAATAATCCAAGAGCTTATATGTGTATACATGTTTGATTTTACATGTAATGACTAATAATGTTGCCCTTTTAAAAAAAAAAAAAATTGGTCCCTTAAATTTAAACGACTCCAATTAAGTTTCTTATGTTCCCACGAGCCATCTGCTTAAAAGAACCCTTTCTAAAGTGCATGCCTCCTTAGGTCGTTTACTATAGGCGCGATGACTGGTACACCAGATGTGCATTTTGATGAAAAGATCACAGGGCCTATAGAAAATATGATAAGAGATTTTTCTAGAAGCTCAGTCCAGCCTACCCGGCCTACTGATATATTCTAAAATCTATTTTCCATTTTAAAAAAGGGAACCCTAAGAGACCCCTGAACTACAAGCTAGTGTGCAACGACTTTTTTGATCCAATCATACTACGTAATCCTTTATTTCAGCTCCATGTTTTTGTTCCCGTGAGAATGAAGCAGTATGAACAAGCTTCTATTGCTATGCAACATCAAAGAGGGGAACAATGAAAATAGATGGTCTTTCTTTTTGGTTTACTCCTCTTCTTGTTCTATTGGGCCTTACGTGCGAGTCATGAGTGCACTATTTCATGATATGATCGAACAAGGAAATGAAAGTCAATGTTGACCGGAGTCAAAAGGTATCTTAAAGGACTGATATACAACACCATAATACTTAGAGTCATCGTTACTCTTTCGTTCTTTAAGAGTAAGACGTTATTTCAAAACAATATTTTGTCAAAGCTCGTGGAGGTGTATTGGTATTTGGAGGAGAAGAGCTTCGTGTGAAACGCTTAGGAAATGGGCATAAAAATGGTTGAGTGGAGGTGTCTTCTCGGACACATTAAATTTTGCCACTTATATCATTGTTCGTGGATGGACGTTAAATGTGACTAATAACAGGTTTATATGATAGTTAGCGAGACTATAGAAATTAAAAAGAAGAGGAAAAATCAAAATTTCTCTCACTTTTTAGATATCTAGATAAGGAAAAAAAAATTCCTCACAATTTGAGAAATTATCGAAAAGACTGCCGAGATATAATATAAATATAGGAGAAAATAATTGTAAAACATATATTAAATTGTATCAAATGGTTAATGGGTGATATTTAGATCATGGTTATTATGAGAATTGAGATAACCATGTTGCACAGTAGCTCCATTCAATAATTTTACTTTTAAGTTGGCCTAATTTATCTTGTAAAATTTTACCAATTATTACATCAAATTTTATCAATTTCACCATCTTTTCCTTATTTAAGTCACAATTTTGAATAATTTTTAAAATTGGGTTAAGATAGCAGTTTGGTCCAGGTATACTTTTAACTTTAGTTTATTTTGATTCCTATACTTTCAATATTAGTTCATTTTGGTCTCTATACTTTTAAAAGTGATGATTTTAGTCTCTCTTTGCAAAATTTTAACACAAATTTTGCACAAACGGAAGCTTTTAATATAAAGTAATATTTACATTTTAAGAAATATATTGATTTTAGCGTCGTATTGAAATTGTGATAGAAAAAAAATGAGATTAAGAATAAAATTAACAGATAAAAATGGTCACTTTTTAAAAGTACGAGAACCAAAATGAACATTTTGAAAATAGAGGGACTAAAATGAACTAATATTGAAAGTATATGGATCAAAATGAACATTTTAAAAGTATAGGGATCAAAATGAAGTAAAATTGAAAGTATACCTGACACCTAAACGAGTATTTTAACCTTGAAATTTTAAGTGCAAGACTGCTGTATTTTGAACTCAAGGGACCAAAAGAAAATATTTGACAAAATTTGGGGATTAGAGTAATTATAGTATGTTATTTTTCAATTAATCTGTAATTAATTAGTTTAGTCGTTGTTTTGTTTCATTATTAGAGGGTTATTTGAAATTACTCAGTTTATCTTCCATTTACTATAGGTGGCTCATTTTTGGAGATTAATGGGGCACGTTTTTTTCTCTATTATATTATAATCAAAGAATTAGGTTTGTCCATTTTCTACCGAGGATGGAGCTGTGAGGAGATCCATCTAAATGGGATAGAGAATATATTCCGTTTAGATTTTTCATGGGACGGGGATATCATCTAAACAGCAACGACAACGGGAACAGAGAATATATTCCTCATCTCTGTACATCTCTACTTAAGATATGTCAACTTGAGCATAGTTCAATTGATTAAGATACTTACTTCCAGTCAAAATGTCGTGAATTATACATTATGAAAAAAAAATTGTTTGTTAGGAAGGAACAAAAGTTTCAATGTTTTCTTGCAACCAATTTTCATTGGTTCGTTCTTGTTCCTCAAACATAAGGTTATTCTTTTTTCAAAAGGTCCTTCAACGGGGTTAGGTGTCTAACAACTTAGTAAAATTTTCAACATATTGGAGGGGTCAAAAACCTATTATATAGAAAATTGAGACTTTAATAATTAATTAGATAAAAAAAATTTAAATCATTTTTCACACTTCATGGATTAGACATTATTTTTAAACTTTTTTTATTTAAAACTCAAATTTATGTCTAATTAAAATATGTCAATAACTTATTAAACATAAAATTTCTATTTCTATTTAACTCACTTATATAAATTTATCATCCATGAATTTTCAGCTACACAGAATATATATAATTGAAAGATGACAAATTAAATTGAAACATCTTAGTATTACAGAACTAAATTAGAGAAATTGGAGGGAAAAATAAAATGAAGAATTATGTTTTTGGAGTCAACTAGGCGTGATTGCTACGTTGATGAATTATTTGAATATAGGGAAAGGCAGAGGAAAAAGAAAGTTAGAATATTAATTCCATATTGTGGAAAGTGTGGCAAAAAGAAGAGTATAGAATATGTAAAGATATTATATTGGTTGGTGTGAATGAATGGATTGGTTCATTTTCATATATGTGATTTGGGAAGAGCATCAAATTCAATTTCAAAGTAAACAAAACCAAACAAATCAACACTCCAATTCCAACAACCACAACTCAATTTCAAACCCCACACAAAATGGTATAAAACCACAAAGCTCATCCCACCTGTTCTAGAAACTCATTAATCAACCAAACATAATAAAATAAAATTATTAATTTATGATGAAATGAAACATGAACTTAATTTTCACCTTTTACTTTTTTAGAAATTCATCTAATTTAACTGTTGCCTTATCTTAC